TACAGCGGCAGTGTGGTGGGCAGTGGTTTTAAGGTATCAGGCTGCCAAGTACGAGGGAGGGGGCCATATGAGTCACATGTCCTCCCCCCCGCAGGGCAGCACAGGGAAGATGAGTTTATGCAGCTGGGTATGAGAACGTTTCTGCTGCACCCTTTCCGGCCAGGCCGTCCCAGGGTGCCAAGAGTCCGTCTGGGAGAATGTAAGGGCCATATATAATAAATTTCTCCTCACCCAGCTCTTAGCAACCAAAGACGCTCTGACAGTGACATCAGTGAGCTGGGCGGGCCACAATGCAGTGATGTCACGGTACCTTGTTCCCTTCCTCCAGCCCCATAATGGTAGGTACAGACCTGGGGCTGAACAATGTGCATTGCACCCCTGACGCAGGGCCATAGGAAGGGTGAGGCGAGTAAGGCACTGGGGGCGCATCTAGGGCCGAACCTGCTGCCCTGTGGGGGTAAGAGGTGGGTGGGTGCTTTGGGATTGGGATGCAGTGCTGATCTCTTCCTGCTCTATCCCCGTCACCCCTTACAAAATCCCCTTTTTTTTCACAGATAATTTTATTTGACCAGAAAGTAAGGAGCCAGCTCCTGACTTGCTTAAAAGAAGGTGTTTGGTCTCTTGGTGGTGAAGTGGGGCTTGTGCTGGCATCGCAGAACCCTCGGCAGTAGAGGGAACTTGATCATCTAACCGTGGAACTGCTTGAGGGCAGGTCTGCAACACTTGTTGGCAGGAATCACCTCAACCATCATGATCTGAATGGAGACCTCTGAAAAACGTGTCCACAATCTCTCCAGATGCTTTCTTCATCTTTTTCAGTTGAGAGACAAAGTACCAAAAACGAGACTTTGCAACAACATGGTTGGGTGTAAAAACTTGCATCGGATAAAGTGGTGGAATAGGTGCCTGAGCAGTAGGAAGACTGCGTCCTATGACTTTGTACTCCCCTACAGTGCCGGACGTCTTCACGTTGCCTCGATCCCTCGCTGAGCAAAAGCACAATATCCCTTTTACTTCTCTTTGCTCTGTCCCCATCTTCAAATGATCTCTGCTGTCCCCATCACCCCCTTAAAATCTCCTTTTACTCCCCTGCTCTGTCCTCATCACTCCATGTCCCCATCATTGCCTTAAAAATCAATTTTACTCACCTGCTCTGTTCTCATCACTCCATGTCCCCATGCTCTGCCCCCATCATTCCCTTAAAAATCAATTTTACTCCCCTGCTCTGTCCTCATCACTCCATGTCTCCCATGCTCTGTCCACATCACTCCCTAAATATCCATTTTACTCCCCTGCTCTGTCCTTATCACTCCATGTCCCCATCACTCCCTAAATATCCATTTTACTCCCCTGCTCTGTCCTTATCACTCCATGTCCCCATTGTTGTAAATTATGATTGAAGTAGATATATTCGGGGTATATTTCGGGTGTATTCTCATGTATTGCATTCTTTTTAGCTGATGTTATTTAAAACACCTATGCTAACTATGTTTTTATTGTGTTAGTTTATTGACCAGTGGACCGCCCTGTTTTGTTGATTGTACACAGTGGAACAGCTGTAGGGAATTTTGTCAAAACCTGTTTCAAAGGGGTAATTAGACCAGCCAATCAGAATCCATTAAGGGTTAGTGAATGGCACTAAACTGTATATGAATAGAAAGCCTAAGGTGGCTGAGAAGGAAGAGGAGGTCAGAGTCATGAAGAGAGGCTTAGAGGTGCATATATAGATTGGAGATATATGCTGGGTAGATAGAGTAGGTCATCATGGAACCCTTTGTCATCTGAGGTCTAGATATTTGACTCTGTATTACTCTGTTGGACTGTTCCTGTTCATCTGTTACTTTGATCCAATTAAACGCTACTCTCTGGAAAAGTACTGAGGTTGCCTGGATTTTCACAACGCATATAAATACATATATTTGGGTAGATATATATTTATACTTCCCGCCATATATTTGAACACTACGCCCATCACCCCTTAAAATCCATTTTACTCCCCTGCTCTGTCCTCATCACTCCATGTCCCCATCACCCCCTTAAAAATCCATTTTACTCCCCTGCTCTGTCCTTATCACTCCATGTCCCCATGCTCTGCCCCCATCATTCCCTTAGAAATCCATTTTACTCCCTTGCTCTGTCCTCATCACTCCATGTCCCCATCATCCCCTTAAAACCCCTTTTACTCCCCATCCTCCATCCCTATCGCCCCATAATCCCCTCTGTCATTCTTTTCCTTGTTATCTATGTACTTTCCTCAAAATAACCTTGGGGGAGGGGCTCAATTCTGTTCTTGCCTCGGGCACAAAAAGGAGCTAGCTACTGCTCTGCCCTGATGCACTGCTGGCGGTTGCAATGCTCTGCAGACCTGAATGCAAAAAAATAAATAAAAATGTTTTCCTGAAGGTGGACTAAGCCTTTAAAAGGCCAAGTCCTGACTCTAGACCCAACACAAAGCTCCATTCCACCTCCCTGCCGCCAGCCAGTGAAGACTCCAGAAACTTTTTGAAATGTTGTTTTTATTGTCAAAGTGCATTAGTCCAACGACAGTTGGGATTAAATTAAACAGCAAACGACACACACACACACACACTAAAACATCCCAGTGCACGGCGGCCGCCGTGCGGCAAAAACACGCCTCGAGTGATTAGCTGCGGAAGAAAAGTGTCACAACTTTCCCCCCCAAAAAAACTCCTAAAAAAGTCAAAAACATCACACATTAATAATAATATTACAAAAACAAAAGCAGTTCCGGAGTCCTAACTACTACCGGCCGAAATATGTCCCCGATGAGGGGACCACTTCATACATTCAACGCCGGTTCAGTGCGGAGCGGCAATGGGCAGTGAGGCTTCAATACAAATGTGATTAACGACAAGACATAAAGAACTCATAAAGCCACTCGGTTCATAAACACTACGTTCAAATACAAAAACAAAAACATTTTTGTAGCTTTTTTGAATCCCTTTCTTAAATTAAGCGAAATTGCAACTATGTCAGCGCTATGTGGCACACAAAGAGCTGCTAAGGAGGCAGAAAACACTGTCAATAGAGCAAAACAAGATATAAAACATTTTTTTTTAAATGGTGAAATTTTGGATAGTGGCAGAGAGGGTTATAACCTCTGTCAGCTTTTTTTTGTTACAGTCTGTGTCCCATTGGGGAGATTTCCCTTCACTTCCTGTCCAATAGCCACATGAGGAAATGAAAGGTAATCCTTCCAATGAGAAGGAAATCCCTGGTAGTCAGAAGGGTCACCACTGGAAGACTTCCCTTCACCTACTGTCTGATAGCCACAAGAGGAGGTGAGGAGAAATCCCTCCGAAGAGAGAGAAATCACCGGTAGTCTGATGGGTTACCATTGAAACATTTCCCTTCACTTCCTGTCTGATAGTCACAAGAGGAAGTGAGAGGAAATCCCACCAAAAAGAGAGAAATCCCTGGTAGTCAGAAGGGTCACCATTGGAAGATTTCCAGTCACCTCTTGTCCAATAGCCACAAGAGGAAAATCACTGGTAGTCAGAAGAGTCACCATTGGAAAATATCCCTTCACTTCCTGCCCAATAGCTACAAGAGGAAGTGAGAGGAAATCCCTCCAAAGAGAGAGAAATCCCTGATAGTCAGAAGGGTCACCATTGGAAGAAATCCCTTCACTTCCTGTCCGATAGCCATACGAGGAAATGAAAGGTAATTCTTCCAATGAGATGGAAATCCATGGTAGTCAGAAGGGTCACCACTGGAAGATATCACTTCACTTCCTGCCCAATAGCTACAAGAGGAAATCCCTCCAAAGAGAGAGAAATCCCTGGTAGTCAGAAGGGTCACCATTGGAAGATTTCCAGTCACTTCCTGTCTGATAGCCACAAGAGGAAGAGAGGGAAATCCCTGGTAGTCAGAAGGGTCACCACTGGAAGATATCCCTTCACTTCCTGCCCAATAGCTACAAGAGGAAATCCCTCCAAAGAGAGAGAAAAAGAGTCACCATTGGAAGATATCCCTTCACTTCCTGTCTGATAGCCACAAGAGGAAGAGAGGGAAATCCCTGGTAGTCAGAAGGGTCACCACTGGAAGATATCCCTTCACTTCCTGCCCAATAGCTACAAGAGGAAATCCCTCCAAAGAGAGAGAAAAAGAGTCACCATTGGAAGATATCCCTTCACTTCCTGTCCGATAGCCACACGAGGAAATGAAAGGTAATTCTTCCAATGAGAAGGAAATCCATGGTAATCAGAAGTATTCCACTGGAATACTTCACTTCACTTCCTGTCCAATAGCCACACGAGGAGGTGAGAAGATATCCCTCCAAAGAGATGTAAATCCCTGGTAGTCAGAAGGATCAACATTGGAAGACTTCCCATCTATTCCTGTTCTGGCGACAACCCAAAATTTGGGGTTTTCTTTTACTTTCAGTGATAACACTCACCAGGACAAACAGAGAGGATGAATCTTCCTAACAAGGACACAGACAGCAATAAACACCTGACGGGTCTTCTAATCCCTCTCCACTCCATCCAAAATGTTTGTCTTGAGTCACACTTTAGAGTGGACCTTTCATTGCAAACGGAAGGTCTACTTTCTGTCTCCCCCCATCCCCCAACATAAATGGCTTTAAAAAGCCAACCATTAGAAAAAAAAAACATGAGTTGGAGGGGACAGGCAAAAAAGTGGACCTTCATTTTGCCAAGGGAGGTTCTCTTTAGGTTGACTCCAAAGATAGTTATGAAAAAGGACACTACGAAAGAAATATAATTTTTGTGAAAATTTGAAACATACAAGTAGTCAGAGTTTTGGAATATCATTTGAAAATGAATCTGGAAATGTTTGTTATCGGCTGGTTCTGAAGTCTCCTGACTGCAGGGTAAGGCACTAGTAGTTAAGGCAAAAAGGACAAGGAGCGGCTCTCATAAGACACGATCGTCAAAAAGGACCAGGGGCGGCTTTCATAAGACACGATCGGCAAAAAAGACCAGGGATGGCTCTCATAAGACACGATCGGCAAGAAGGGCCAGGGCCGGTTCTCATATGACAGGATCGGCAAAAAGGACCAGGGACGGCTCTCATAAAGACATGATCGGCAAAAAGGACCAGGGGCGGCTCTCATAAGACACGATCGGCAAAAAGGACCAGGGACGGCTCTCAGAAGACATGATCGGCAAAAAGGACCAGGGACGGCTCTCAGAAGACACGATCGGCAAAAAGGACCAGGGACGGCTCTCAGAAGACACGATCGGCAAAAAGGACCAGGGACGGCTCTCAGAAGACACGATCGGCAAAAAGGACCAGGGACGGCTCTCAGAAGACACGATCGGCAAAAAGGACCAGGGACGGCTCTCAGAAGACACGATCGGCAAAAAGGACCAGGGACGGCTCTCAGAAGACACGATCGGCAAAAAGGACCAGGGACGGCTCTCAGAAGACACGATCGGCAAAAAGGACCAGGGACGGCTCTCAGAAGACACGATCGGCAAAAAGGACCAGGGACGGCTCTCAGAAGACACGATCGGCAAAAAGGACCAGGGACGGCTCTCAGAAGACACGATCGGCAAAAAGGACCAGGGACGGCTCTCAGAAGACACGATCGGCAAAAAGGACCAGGGACGGCTCTCAGAAGACACGATCGGCAAAAAGGACCAGGGACGGCTCTCAGAAGACACGATCGGCAAAAAGGACCAGGGACGGCTCTCAGAAGACACGATCGGCAAAAAGGACCAGGGACGGCTCTCAGAAGACACGATCGGCAAAAAGGACCAGGGACGGCTCTCAGAAGACACGATCGGCAAAAAGGACCAGGGACGGCTCTCAGAAGACACGATCGGCAAAAAGGACCAGGGACGGCTCTCAGAAGACACGATCGGCAAAAAGGACCAGGGACGGCTCTCAGAAGACACGATCGGCAAAAAGGACCAGGGACGGCTCTCAGAAGACACGATCGGCAAAAAGGACCAGGGACGGCTCTCAGAAGACACGATCGGCAAAAAGGACCAGGGACGGCTCTCAGAAGACACGATCGGCAAAAAGGACCAGGGACGGCTCTCAGAAGACACGATCGGCAAAAAGGACCAGGGACGGCTCTCAGAAGACACGATCGGCAAAAAGGACCAGGGACGGCTCTCAGAAGACACGATCGGCAAAAAGGACCAGGGACGGCTCTCAGAAGACACGATCGGCAAAAAGGACCAGGGACGGCTCTCAGAAGACACGATCGGCAAAAAGGACCAGGGACGGCTCTCAGAAGACACGATCGGCAAAAAGGACCAGGGACGGCTCTCAGAAGACACGATCGGCAAAAAGGACCAGGGACGGCTCTCAGAAGACACGATCGGCAAAAAGGACCAGGGACGGCTCTCAGAAGACACGATCGGCAAAAAGGACCAGGGACGGCTCTCAGAAGACACGATCGGCAAAAAGGACCAGGGACGGCTCTCAGAAGACACGATCGGCAAAAAGGACCAGGGACGGCTCTCAGAAGACACGATCGGCAAAAAGGACCAGGGACGGCTCTCAGAAGACATGATCGGCAAAAAGGACCAGGGACGGCTCTCAGAAGACACGATCGGCAAAAAGGACCAGGGACGGCTCTTATAAGACACGACGGACTCTGTGCAAGGGGGAAGAGCTTCACAAACAAAAGAACAGTCCTAGCATCAAATGTAACAGTGATGGCTGCTGACCAGTGAAACATTCATGAGCAGAGGGGTGGCATTGTGTAACAGAACTTCCTATCTTCTGGCCTGCGAACATCAACCACCAGCAGCCTGATGGCCTTGTAACTTTTCCTTTAACGTATAAAACAAATCTTGGGTAACAGGGACCTTTTGCCAAAATTTGCTGCTCAATGTGTCTCTGTTGCAAGTGAAGGCACAGCAAGGTTTGTTGAAAACAAACTTGGAGGACATCTAGTGTCCTTGCAAAGCGGCCATTTACTAGACACTGTCCACAAGTCCATGAGGAGGTTCACAAGAAAGATGGGTGTTGATGTGCAAGCCTAGTGTGAAGCTTAGTACTCCTTGTGGTCATGGTGCTGGGCTTGCGTGTAGGAGGGTTCACGTTGAATTTCAGCATCTTCATGTACTATGTGTTGTGATAGAAACTATTAGTCCTCATTTTTTTTATGATCCTTGTGGTTGGATCTGTGTTATTGCTTACTGTCATCATACTTGTCATAATGGGATCAATGTTTGTTGTCATCGAACTTGTCCTTGGAGAGTTTCTGTTTGTGGTCATCTTCTTTGCCATGGTTGGGTTTCTGTTTGTGGTCATCTTTCTTGCCATGGTTGGGTTTCTGTTTGTGGTCATCTTCCTTGCCCTGGTTGGGTTTCTGTTTGTGGTCATCTTCCTTGCCCTGGTTGGGTTTCTGTTTGTGGTCATCTTTCTTGCCCTGGTAGGGTTTCTGTTTGTGGTCATCTTTGTTGCCATGGTAGGATTTTTGTTTGTGGTCATCTTCTTTGCCATGGTTGGGTTTCTGTTTGTGGTCATCTTCCTTGCCATGGTTGGGTTTCTGTTTGTGGTCATCTTCCTTGCCATGGTGGGGTTTCTGTTTGTGGTCATCTTCCTTGCCTTGGTGGGGTTTCTGTTTGTGGTCATCTTCCTTGCCCTGGTTGGGTTTCTGTTTGTGGTCATCTTCCTTGCCCTGGTTGGGTTTCTGTTTGTGGTCATCTTTCTTGCCCTGGTAGGGTTTCTGTTTGTGGTCATCTTTGTTGCCATGGTAGGATTTTTGTTTGTGGTCATCTTCTTTGCCATGGTTGGGTTTCTGTTTGTGGTCATCTTCCTTGCCATGGTTGGGTTTCTGTTTGTGGTCATCTTCCTTGCCATGGTGGGGTTTCTGTTTGTGGTCATCTTCCTTGCCATGGTGGGGTTTCTGTTTGTGGTCATCTTCCTTGCCATGGTGGGGTTTCTGTTTGTGGTCATCTTCCTTGCCATGGTGGGGTTTCTGTTTGTGGTCATCATGCTTGTCATAGTAAGGTTGTGAGGGGTAAGCTTTGTTGGATCTATCAAAATTACCTTCATGATGTTTAGGTTTTCCATGCCCATGGTCACCATCCTTCCATGGCTTGTGTTCATAGTGATCACCCTCACCTTGCTTCCATTGCTTGTGCTCATGGTGGCCACCCTCACCTTGTTTCATTGACTTGTGTTCATGGCGGTCACCCTCACCATGCTTCCAAGGCTTGTGTTCATGGTGGTCACCCTCACCATGCTTCCACGGCTTGTGTTCATGGCAGTCACCCTCACCATGATTCCAGGGCTTGTGTTCATGGCGGTCACCCTTACCTTGCTTCCAAGGCTTGTGTTCATGGCGGTCACCCTCACCTTGTTTCCATGGTTTCTGTTCATGGGGGTCACCCTCACCTTGCTTCCAAGGCTTGTGTTCATGGTGGTCACCCTCACCTTGTTTGCATGGTTTCTGTTCATGGCGGTCACCCTCACCTTGTTTCCATGATTTATGTTCATGGTGGTCACCCTCACCTTGTTTCCATGATTTATGTTCATGGCGGTCACCCTCACCTTGTTTCAATGGTTTGTGTTCATGGCGGCCACCCTCACCTTGTTTCCAAGGCTTGTGTTCATGGCGGTCACCCTCACCTTGTTTCAATGGTTTGTGTTCATGTCGCTGATCCCCTCCCTCCTTCCATGGCTTGTTTCCATGGTGGTGACCATCTGGTGACCGATAATACTCAATAATGTCATTTTTCTCCTGTTTCCTCCCGTATGGCTTATGTTCATGGTGAAATGGCTTTTCTGTGTCTTCATTGTGGTCAACAAAAGATGGGCTGTTTTTGTGCTTGTGTTCATGTCTGTGCTTTCCTCGTGGATGTTCAAGGTCTTCTGTATCAAACTGGTTCTTGTGGTAGTGGTGTCCCTGTCCGTCTTTGTGCTCCTCTCGTTTTTTATAAGGTTTTTGCTCATGAAAATGTTTACCATCCTCTTTTCGGTCATGGTAGTCTTCATGGTAGGATCTGTAACCGTGATTGTGATCTTTGGTGTTGTACTTGGGCTTTTTATGATGCCACTCTCCCATCTCATGAACGGAATCTCTGGTCTGGTTGAAGTAATGTCCCGATGTTTCCTGATGGCTTTTCTGATGGTATTTTCCATCTTTGTCATACTTTTTATGATTCTTCCATCCATGACCATTTCTGTCCTCGTCATAATAATGGTTTGGTGACTTGTCCTTTTCATCCGTCTTATACTTCCCCTTGTAGGGTTCGGAGTTATGATTATCTCCATCTACTTTGAAGCCTTTCTTGTTTGTATAGTTTGGGTTAGTTTGGTTGAGTTCAGATTCGGAGGTGTCCTCCAGTTTTTTGGGATTGTGTTGGCGGTCCAATTTGTAGCTCTTTCGGTGGCCATCTTTCTTTTTAGATCTAGAAAAGGAATTCACGGAGACCTGAACATGTTATTAGAGGAAGTGCTACCAGTCAGACAGACACAGAACTGACATCAATTCAGTTATTATGAAGAACGTTTCAATGATAAATCAGACTTAGATGGGAGCTGTGATTCCCGACTCTCGGAGCACGTACTAGTTCTGCAACAATTAGGCTAGAAATACTCAGTAGGGATGCACCGATACCGATTTTTTGGTATCGAGTACTGATATTCTTTTTCTGTTACTTGCCGACACCGGAAGTCCCATGAAGGAAGCCAGACGGCGTGTAATGACTCACCACCTGGCTTCCCAGTGACGAGGAAGCATTGAGCCGGCTTTCTGGCCAATCAGGAAGCTTGGCACCGTGTAATGACTCATTGCCCAGCTTTCTGATTGGCCGAGAAGCTGGCTAATCAGGAATCCGGGCAACGAGTGACCAAGGAGCATGAAGCCGGCTTCTGGCCAATCAGAAAGCCAGGGGGCAGGTAATGACTCGCCATCCGGTTTCCTGATTGGCTGGCTTCCCAACCAATCAGGAAGCTAGGCGACAAGTCATGACACGCTGCCCAGCTTCCTGATTGGCCAGGGAGCTGGCTCCATGCTCCCTCGTCACCAAGTGACGAGGGAGCATGGAGCCGGCATCCCGGCCAATCAGGAAGCCGGGCAGAGTGTAATGACTTGCTGCCCGGCTTCCTGGTACCAGAAGCTCAGGTATCAGGCTAGGCATCGGAGCATTTGGGCGAGTATGAGTTCTCGCCTCAATACTCGGCATCGGCACCAATACTAATACTAGTATCGCTGCATCCCTACTACTCAGAACATTGTAAATGGTGTCACTGTTCTCAGACTAAAAATGTAGCTCTGGAGTTGGGGAAAAATAGACTACACGTGTAGTAATGATTTGGTCATGACTGCCTGTAGGCAGATATCAAACAGAGAATGATGAACAGGAAATCTGCCTGCCCTTGACCAAATCACAGAAAAAACGGCCATGACAAGATTCTGTCTTTGGACAGCAGCAGACACCTGGGACTTTGTATTGTTCCCTTTAATCCACAGAAAACTGAAGGATTGGCCCAGCTTGCAAGAAGATATAACTATAAGTTTTTAAATCTTCATGATGAGACCCTTTAAAGGCTGGTTATTGCCCCCTAGGAAGGTCAGAGATAGCTGAATCCCTTAAAATTATTACCAACACTTCTGATCAAGCTGTTTATAGTCCGTCCAAGCAATCCTGTGCTAAAAAGAAGAAAAGCATGACTGCTTTAAACAGTTTGATCATTAAGACGACCTATATATTGGGCCTTCAGCAATTTTTCATAAGTTGGCCGCATACATTATGTTCCGGACATATGCTTCCACTTACTGAAGTCATATACCAGGCTTATTACAATATATTATAGAATAATAGGGCTGCAACAACTAATCGATTATAATCGATAATGAGAATAGTTGGCAACTATTCTTATTATCGATTAGTTGGGGAGAGAGAGAGAGGGGGAAGAGAGAGAGAGAGGGGAAAGAGAGAGAGAGGAGAGAGAGAGAGGGAGGAGAGAGAGAGAGAGAGAGAAGAGAGAGAGGGGAGAGAGAAGAGAGAGAGGGGAGAGAGAGGGGAGAGAGGGGAGAGATAGAGAGAGGGGAGAGAAGAAGAGAGAGAGAGAGGGGAGAGAAGAAGAGAGAGAGAGGGGGAGAGAGAGATATATATATATTTTTAATACAACTAATCGATTAATTGAAAAAATAATCGGCAACTAATCAGTTATGAAAATAATCATTAACTGCAGCCCTATAGGATAAGATCCTTCTCATTAGTTGAAGAACTTACTGGCTTTGGGAGTTTTTGAAGTGATCATATGTACTTTAAAGAACAAGTTTACTTATTCTACAAAACCTCCACAGCCCCCCCTCCTTAGCTCCTTTAACTAGTCTAAGTGACCATTCGCCCCATGGGTGCTTACTGACCTCCTCTGACAGTGGCAGCTTCATGTACTGTCTACATCCCAGGGGGTAAAAATCTAGTTCCTGGTTGCCCACGCTAACACTCCATAGACTTGTATAGGATGGGATGTTTAAGTAATGCTAGTTAAGGGGTTAGGAAGGGAGACTGTGAGACAAATGAGCCCAGGAAATTGGATCCTCATAAACCTTCAATGCTGTGCCAAAAAAGGAGCTCCCCAGTGCATTTATAAATCCATCTCCAGCTCACCGAAACCAGGAGAGTGCAATGTAGAAGGACACGCATTGACATCCGATAAAGAGCTACTCACCTTTTCTTAATAGCAGCATCTCCAAAGAAGCTGGTGTACACAAATCTCTCAAAATCATCCACGAGGTCATCGTCCCCAGTCTCCTTCTTTGCCAAGTCTTCTAGGAAGTCCTCCACATCATCCACAAAGTCCTTAAAGCGGATTTTATGGTGGGAGAAGTAAGGCCCGTCGAAGAAGCCGTCGAGAAGAGGTACCAGCTCAGGCAGGTGTTTCGAGAGATCTGACTTGGTCAGGTAGTTCTGCAGGATCTCTTCGAATCGCTTCCTCTGAACTGGTTTCAGGTCTACGTTGAAAAGGTCAATTCCATCTTTACGGGCACAGTCTTCCAGGCCGGAGCATCCTTCTGGAACTCGGTACTGATGGTCGGAGAGCTTCTTCCAGAACTTGTTATGGTCATGGTGTCGGTGTTCTTTGCCATGGGCTTTGTCCCCATGTTCCCGTTTCCTGTCCTCTCCATGTTTGTGGGCTTCTGAAAACTCTTTCTGGCCCTTGCGAGGATGGAAACCATTTCCTGCTTCTCCGTGGTGATGGCGAGAGTGTTTGTCCTTCCAGTTTCTCTCACTGTCAGGATCATGGGAAGGCTCTTTTGAATGGTTATCTTTGCCTTTGTCCTTCCAGCCTTCAGACTCATGTGGATGACGCTCTTTATCTTCCATCCCAGTTTTCTCTCCCTCCCAGTGCCGATGCTTCTTTTCCCGCCCCTGCTGCTTATCTTCATGCTTTTTACCCTTCCATTCTTCATGCTGTGATTCGGTTTGTCCATCTTCTGTCCATCTTTTTCCATGTTCCTTGCCATGTTTAAAATGTGGCTTCCCTAACTGCTCCCCGGCTGTAGCTGAATCTGAACCTTTGCTCAGCTTATCACCTTTCTTCCACTCTTTACGACCAAAGGGTTTCTTCTCCTCCCCAACAAGTTCTTTCCTTTTCTGTGCATGCTCCACATAAGTCTTCTCCCATGTCTCAGACCTCTGAGCCTCCATTGCCAATCTGCTGCTCATCTCCATGATTTGGCTTTGTAAACCTTTCTCCTCACCCCCCTCAGTGGTGTTGGACGTCATGCTGTCTAGATCCTGTCTGATAGAGGCCACCAATGACCGCAGCTTGTCCAACTCCTGACGAAGCATCTGAGACTCTGCCACCAGAGTCTCCTTTTGAGTCAGAAATCCCTCAATCTGGCTCTGTGAGGCCTCCAGGTCTGCTTCCAGCTGGGTGTTCTCAGAGGTCAAGCCCTCCTTATCTGCATTATTGGCCTCTATGGTCTCCAGTTTCTCCTGCAGGGTCTGCAGTTCCTCCTTTGCAAAGAGATGACCAGTCTCTTCTCGGAGAAGAGCCTCTTTTAGCCTCTCATTCTCGTTCGTCAATCTAAACTGTTGCGACTCCTGAGTGGCTTTGTCTTCGCCATGCAGCAACACTTCCAGTTCCTCCTTCTGAGCCTGTAATAAATATATTGATGTTAATCATTTGAGGTGACTTTCATAAGTTTACGCACTTGCTGCTCCATATTTACATAACTATATGATGTAGCAGCTCAGATAAAAATCAGTTCTGAGTCTGAGATGACCCACAGACTTGTGACAAGATAAAAGGAGTGTTAAAGGAAACCATTTAGAATGATAGGGGGGTGGCATTCTACTGTCGACTTGTTTTGGTAGGTAGATGCTTGAGGACTAGGGTCCTTCAGGATAAGGTCATCCAGGAACACGTTTGTGCCATGACACCTGATACAAACATGCTTGTTCTGGGGAGGTGAACCACCAATTAGTGAAGCAAAGATACAAATAACAGCCTTGGACTGTGCACTTCCAAATGCAATTCAGTCGTGCTAGCCATAGTTCTTACAGGCGCCTTTCAACCAGAGACCTTGTGACCTTTGCCTAGGAGTCAGGTCGCACTAGCAGAAGTATGCCCAGAAGGGGCTGCGATGGTGAACCCAACCTGGTGACATAATAAAGATCTGAGTTGGTAATGCTAAGATATGCCCTGCTGATTTTTGTTACATGTGACTTTTAAAAACAGGTCCTCTTCAAAGCACATCATGTAGAAGTTCTAAGAAAGTACATGTATAAAATGAGCAGATTTGGCTGCCCCCATTCACATATAATTCCAATCTGTGAAGCAAACCAGAATATATAATGATAACTAGGGATGCACTGATACTAGTATCGGTATTGGTGCCGATACCGAGTATGTGGGTGAGTACTCGTACTTGCCCAAATGCTCTGATACCTTTTCCGATACTGGAACTTCTGGTCAGGCGGAGACTTCCTCTGACCGGCAGTGCCGCAAGGGAACATGGAGCCGGTAACCTGGTTCAATGCTGTTTGGCCGGCTCGATGCTGATTGGCTGGGAAGCCGCCTTCCTGGCCAATCAGTGTTGAGCCGGGCAAACAAATCTGATAATATGGCGACACGACCCCCACCCTGCAGACAAATCATTCCCCTCACATAGAGCCTTAGCAGCAGTGATTACTGTACCAGTCCCCCGGCCAGCTGGGCAGACACCGCTCTCCAAGCTCTTCGGGATCTGCCCACGTCTACTGTGCACAGCGCCCACGTGATCGGCCCTCAGCTTGCTACTGCGCGTGCACAAGATTTCTGAATGAGAGCGCTGAGCAGTAGCAGGCTGAGGGCCGATCACGTGGGCGCTGTGCACACAGGAGACGTGGGCAGATCCTGGAGAGCGGTGTCTGCCCAGCTGGCCGAGGGACTGGTACAGTAATGACTGCTACTAAGGATCTATGTGAGGGGAATGAGGTGCCTGCAGGGTGGGGGTCGTGTCACCATATTGTCAGATCTGTTTGGCCGGCCTCGATGCCGATTGGCCAGGAAGCCGGCTTCCTGGCCAATCAGCATCGAGCCGACCAAACAGAATGGAGTCGGCTACCCGGGCAATCAAGAAGCCGAGCGGTGGGTAATGACACGCCGCCTGGCTTCCTGAATGCCCGGGAAGCCGGCTCTATGCTACCGGAAGTACCGGTATCGTCGAGTACCAAAATATAAATATCGGTACTCGATACTGAAAAAACGGCATCCCTGCATCCCTAGCGATAACATAAGTCTGTTCTGTGCAGTGAACCGTGACTTTTTGGGGCCTGGAATAGACGGCTGGAGGTACCTGAAGTTTGGCCTGAATGTGCCGAATCTCTTGGTTTTCCTTGGCAACTTTATCGAGAAGGTCGTTCATAACCTGAAGGCTGTCTGGATCTCCGGTGAATTGGTCGGCATGTTGATGGAGCCACTCCTGGAAGAGATAACGGAATGACAATGTGTGTTACAAATATGGAACAAGTAAATATTCCATGTTCTGGCCGGGCGGAGAATGGAATGATGGGCCGTTTTATCACACGAGATCCTGGCAGCAAAAAAAAAGCCCCGAACTACAGCTTCTGGCGGCATGAACCGTCTGCAGGAAGGACAACAATATTCGGGTGGTCAACACATGACAGATGGGTAACTCTGAGATATCAATGAGGAGCTCCAGTTAAATAATGACCTAATTAATCAGGCACCAATTATCATCCAAACCTAAATGAAGGTCTTAAAAAATGAGGCTGGGTGTGTCAGTACTGGTTTGGATGAACAGAAACTCTATGGGATCAGGATCTTGAGGTACAGGATCTTGTGGTACTGTAACGCCCCTAGTTTACTTGTCAGGATCTCAACTGCGGCGGTATGTAACATCAACAGCATATCACACAGCCCTGGAATATTCGAGGGGAATAACGGCTATTCAGTTGGAATTCCAGGCGTCACTCTCAGACTCATTACGGAGAGTTTGGAATTACTAACATCATACACTGGGATTACTATAGGTAGCTGAGGAGTACCCGTTATGGTATAATTCATACGCCCCATGGGGGAAAGATATGGTATTTATGTGAGGTCACGGTGTTGAACCCAGAAGGCTCAGTATGCAATATTAACTGGTACACAGGATTAGACGTAAGTATTCATTCAAGCAGATGATCAAGTTCCTAGAGTTAGAATATAAGGCAGTCCGTAATATCTAACAAGCAGTGCACAAGGTTGAGGAGTAGGTATATGTTCAGACAGGAGGTCACAGTATAGTAGGTACCAGTTAACTCTAGCAACAAACGCAGTCCATCAGGCAGTCCTGAATGGATGTTGAATACTTGCGGTTTGAGGTCATCTACAAGTCCCTGAAGTGGGGGAGCCGGATACTGGAGGATGAAGTTGCAATATCAGGGTCCTTCGGTAAGTCCCGAGGGGTGGTCGTAGCTGCAGGGCAATTCAGAGCTCGCAGGGCGCACATTCCATTAGTGGAACGCCGTGTGTAGCTCCTCCTCTGGTAATATTGGGTCTGAGGTCGTGCGGGGTGGAGTCGAGCCGCTGCCTTCCATCATGGAGCGCAAGCCATGACAGTCGTCATAGTCGCAGAGCAGCTGCGTTCCAGCATGGAACGCAATACGCGGTATCGTTAAAGGTACCTACATTCCACCATTCCTTCATGCGATTAGAACAAAATGGATCACAGAGAAGCAAAACAAAAAGTTCGGAATCTACTCGACCTTATAAAACGAGACTTTTGTAAGCAGAGACGCCGTTCTGTGACCACACACGTACCTGGATGTCGGCAATGGTCTCTGGCTGCTTATCACCTCCTGCACTGCGCGTTATCACAGTCTGAGGAAGATCTACACAAGACAACAGATGTACAATGAGGATATAGAAAATACCATTGGTATACTTTTAGTATAAATCATACTAGCCACAATCTGGAGTACTTTACTGAGCACCCTGTCTGGCGCCACACAGCCTCCATCCGAAAACTGGAGCATTCAGCAGAGCGGTCTCTGTACATGTGGGCCCGGGTCTCTGTCCATTTGAATAGATTGTGTGCCCATAGCCTGACAGGTGGCTTCCCATTGCAGGGATGTTGGAGGAAAGGGGTGGTATAAATGACTGTCGGAGGGGTTATTATATGACTAAGACTGACTGTTACTGTACAAGTGGGCCCAGGTCTCCATTCCTTTGAAGAGAATGCCTGTCCATAGCCTGACAGATGGCTTTTTGGTGCAGGGATTGGAGAGCGTGGCGCATGTGGCCAGGTACTGCTCTGCAGAGTTCAGGAGAATTCAGGGTGGAGGCTGTTTGGAGCCAGTCAGGCCACATAGTGAAGGTCTCAGAGAAGCCGGGTTGTAGTAAGCATTAATGAGAGGACGATAGGAGACACAACAATATAGTGAATCTAAAATAATATCTTATCAGCTACAAGACAGATAATTCTACGAAACGACTCACCTTCATCTCCTCCCAGGCCGCCTGTCAGGGAACAAGGTAGATATTAATGATCAGAAGATAGAGAACACATCACATGTACTATACAACAAATAGTAGAAGACAAAGCCTGATATGTAAAGTGCAAGAACTTATAAGTGGTCACCTATCACCCATATTAAACCCAAATCTGGCAGTGAGACTGCAACAGTATATATGACCAGATGACGGTTGGTATATATGACTGGTGGGAGAGGGATGGTATACATGACCTTGGGGGGAAAGGTTTGATATATATAGATATATATATAGCTTGTTGGAGGGGGGACAATATATATGACTGATGGGGGGTCAGTATATATGACTTTTGAAGGCAAGAGTGTTATATATGACTGGTGGGAGGGGGAATGATATATATGACTGGTGGGAGTAAGGGCGGAATATATGACTGATGGAAGGGGGATTCTACATATTTCTGATGGGAGAGTGGATGGTATATATAACTAGTTG